GGGGGGGGTCTTTTATAGGTACCGAATGGTAATCGGTCACAATAATATTATAATATTTATACAGGTAAAATCGTGGCTGAAGGAAGTGGGACGAAAACGGGTAAAGTAAAACGGTGACTGAAGAAACTGGGACGAAAACGGGTAGTGAAACGAAGATGAAGGACAAATACGGGTGAACCGGTTACAGTAGTAACCCTACCCTCTGAACTCGCATCAGTTTATCATCTGGATCCTCCACGTTTTCTGTTGACTTATTTTGTCTGTGTCACTATCTGACTATCCCATTAAATTGTTCCAGTGCAGGGTGGGAGTAGTACTGACGTAAATTTCAAAGCATGTTTTCATTTCCTAAGTTCGAAGAGTTGGGTCTGATATCATAAAGTAAAAAGACATGAATGGATTCCTGCCACTACTATTATCGAGAAAGATTTTGTACTCTTGAAAATGTTTCTTCTTTTCTTTTAAAGTGTAAGTATATAATGGGTTTTTACGCCCTTATCAACGTTTACAGGTTAGCCAAATGGGTTGATAGTCTTGGAAACTCCACAAAACGACCCCAGTACAAGAACGCCTAGTCTAGGATTTGAATCAGGGCCATCTGCTCTGTAGTCAAGCATGATATCAACCGTGCAAATGGAGAGCCCACTTTATCTTGTTAAAGAACAAACAGAAGAAGAATCCATGTTGAAAAGAGACCAAAAAAAAAAAAATGCAAGCCCTAATTTGTCACAGCTCAAAATGACCTTAAATGCGTCATTCAGATAGCTTCACCCTTGCGGAAAATACAAGATAGTTTCAGTTTCAGGTACAAAACGAAGCGTACTGAACGGAACTGCGTTGTTTTCGCGTTGTTGCAGTAGTTTTGCTTATCAAACGTGTTTTTTTTCCCCCGTTGCGTTTTGAAAGACACGTCAAAGTGTCATGTAGACATGTCATCTACTTTGTTATTATAGACTTCCATACCATAACTTATTTTTTCTACCTCCCAAACCACACACACACTCACACAAACTTAAAATCCCCAAACACACGTAATATGCGGGCGTTTGCGAGCGCAAATACACAAACGCACACAAACATAAACACCCACACACACACACACGCGCGCACACACACACAGACGCATGCACGCACGGCGAGCGCCCGCGCAAGTACATCACACTTTCAGGACCTGCACAGAGGCAGCTGATGGCGGTTAATAATACATCATGTACATAATGTAGGCCTACTTCAGTTGAAGCCTTTGTCCAACGACTCGGTATCTTCCCCAGGAAGCTACAATATGTACTGGGGGAGCGTCCTGGACGAAAACAACAATGAGCCGGTTCTCACAGTTACAGTTACAGAAGGATGACACCAGTCTTGAGACGCGATCAATGTGACACGCTGGCGGAGTCCTCATTTAATGTTAGCTCAACTCTAAAAATGCGAGACGCAAGAACACGGGGAGATGAGCACAGACACAAACGGTTTAATTCAAGGAACAAATAATAGGCAGTTGCAACAGACGTCGTGCGAAAAGAAGCCAGACCGCAGGCAATAATTACTCCCCCGGCTTCGATTTGTTCGTCACGCAATAGTGCTGACTCAGCAACAATTAAAGATTCTTAAACACCATCGTAACGTATTGTTATAGGGACGGAACATCACAGTTAGATCCAAAAAGGACACCTTCCTCACCCCCAGAGCAAACAAGTTTTATAATGATCTATCAAACAATCTCTTTCTTCTCCTTTACAACCTCCTCTGCCTCTTCTTTTTGAAGGAGCATCTGATTTTTATTTCAAAGTGGCTTTTCGGACTCGAGTCTGAATAGCCTTCCGTGGCTATTTGGACACACACTTCAATACTGTAGAAGGATTGTTGCTTGGCAAACACTATCAGAATGTGTATTGTTTTGTCCTGATTTTATTTGAACATCTTGTAAAGTATGCTGTTGGAAAAGCTTTTTCCTTAAGACCACTGTTACTTTGAATGACTGACTTTTTGTTCCCTTTGGAAGGGTTTTAACTTTTCTTTTCTTAGTTTCTAACTGGAGTTTCAACAGATCAATGATTTTGTCTTTTTCGTCACATAAAGCAGGTTCAGACTACCTATTGATAATTATAATACTTTGTTGTTTCGAAACTTTGGTTTTCAATTTTGTATTTCACTGCTTTGAGCTCAGATTGCTTTCCCTGTTTGCCTTTGTCGTGTTACATTTCAGATTTTTCAACTGTTGTTCACTTTTGACGTCACAAATACTTTTCTTAATTTGTGTCGAAAATTTTGGCCAGATCGTAGAAACTGAGCAAGGCCAAGGTCGAATTATCTGTCTGCTTCCCATCCAGTAGATATACACCCGGTGATTGAGAACGCGCATATATGAGTTTGAGTCCAAATAGCCACGGGAGGCTATTCAGATTCGAGTCCTAATAGCCGTGGTCTTTCTATTTTCGCAGGTAGGCTACATGTAGCTGTCTTTCCAGATCAAGAACATTCATTTTAAAAAATACCAATTTTCTCGTCGGTCAAGACCTTTTCTTCTCCCTGACACGACTGATGTAGCAGTCGAGGCTATTATTTCAGTACATTTTTCAGCTCACTGAAGTGAAAGGGACAATAATATCAATGATGCATGGCTATTTATATACAGTTGAACCAGCTCTAATGGTCACCTGGATAAGACAATCATCGAAACAAATGGTCACTTCCCTATTCCTCGCGATATTTTTTACCTTATATAAATAATAACAACACTCCATGACAGTCATCCATCTAAGGCAGCTACTTTTCTCCTTGATGATGGGTAATGGGTGGCTCTCTCAGACAGTTTCGACCATACATTGTATCTGCTTAATATTATCAACAATAGGGCCTACAACTTTGATACAACCATCATACGTGACTTACTTACTGCTCATAGAACTGAAAACAAAGTCCATGCATCACAAAGCTGCACAACTTATATGATTATATCATGAAGAGCTTTTAATTTGCCGCCCGAAAAGAAAGAAGATACCTCTAACCTAGAGCTAACAAAGTCCTACAGGGCCTTTATTTATAGCAATAAACTATTTATTACAGCATTCTGAGACAGTAAATTTTGCACCTCATAGCCTCATAACATCAAAGATTTTTTAGAGCATAAATAACCTTTAACTTTAGGAAAACTTTTCTGACCCTCTAAGTAAGTTGTTCATTATAAATAGACATAGGATGTTTTTCCATAGCCAATGACTAACTTCTTTTCCACTTATTAGTGAGAGAATGGAATTAAAATAAACAGTATAGTCAGTATCATTTTACAAACATTTTCTCTGACATGCATTTTATGGATAATTTTAAATCGCTTGCTCCCTCTTTAAATCACTTTTCGACTCATCATAATTACATATGTTAAATTTCAACATATGCAAAGAGACCCTCGCACTTTGCATCAGAATACAGCATTATTTTTATATATATATAATATACTACACTCATGAGCATTAAAATAGTGTTACAAATTTGATTCACTCACTCCTGTAGGCCTACTTTTAAAAAAACACGTTTTTTTACAAATTAAATGACTTCCAGCAACTTTAAAACGTTAACGTACACAGTTCACTGAAACCGGAAAGCCGTAAGATTTTCCAAACTGCAATTTAATCAACAAGGTGCATTCAGACTGGATCGTCGTATATAGTCCTAATACTTTTGTTATAAGTAGGCCTATCAAAATACTGAAACTGATAATTCATCCCTTCTGTTCATTATGACTTCGGTTTCCTAGCGTGAGTCATAAAGTTATCTTACACACCAGATACAATTTTAAATTATTTAATAACAGTATTAACAGTAGGAAGCCAAAGATAATGGAACTACCCTCAGGGAATAAGAAGGCCTTTTACAACAAAAGGTGGAGTCTGTTATTTGAATACTTTTTTTCCGGTGAACTCGTCACCCGTTTTTCAGCGGTGACGACTTCACTGGTTTCCCTTCAGTCGATATCTGCAGGACCACCAGATTCTCTATGTTAAGCCATGATTTCTGTATAGTCTAGACAGAGAGATTGCTTATCAAATCAAAAGGCAAAGAAAAAAAATCAAGCATATTAAAATGATTATGTATGGTAAATTTTTACTTTCACTCCCGCACACGGATGCACTGCTTCGGGGGTCAAACTGCAGTACTGAGTACTATTTGCTGTAGATTACACATAAAGCCACTAAAACTGTTGCAAATCAATTATTTTCAAGAAAATTTCAAATGTAACTATGTAAAATATCAAAGTATGGGTTAAAACAGTGTAACCCCCCAGATTTCTTTTACCAAAGTGGGGCAGGCCCCCCCCAGCCCTGGAACCCCCCCGATCGGTCGAAAGCAACGTCTGTCTCTATTAAGAACAATCAGAAATTTCAAAAACTATTAATTTGAGATGGAAATGAAGTTGATATTCGTGTCTAGATTAGTAGAAAATGGACAACAATGTGAGACGGCAGGGAAAGTAAAAAAAAATACAGATTATATAGCCTATTTTCTTTCGGTTTACACCGTTCTCGGATTAACAGTCGAGTGCACTCCTCGGTATGCTACAATGAAAATATGATCCTTCACTTAAAAATAAAAAAGTTCAGTACACTTCATTTATTTAATAAAGGTCCTAAGTTTGTCCAAAAAATTTTTTGCTTGCACTACTAACACCAACAGTGGCACTGCTACTGATAACATGCAAAAATCTTGAACTAGCCTGATAGATTCTAGAATGTAGATCTAGGCCTAGATCTACATCAATATTATAATATTACAGAGTATTTTTAAAGACCTTACCTTCAAAATCAAGAAATTGGAGTTCTCCAACAACCTTCTGGAATCGTTTCAAATAATATCAGGCCGGAGTGCTGCTTAGAGGCAGAGGCTCGTTTGGTTAAGACAAGGTGATGTTTGCCTTGATGATGCCGTCCGCGTTTGTCTGCTCGATGTTGAATTTAGATTTGCCACATCAGGAAAACACACTCGAGTTCACCACTGCTAAACTTGACTCCCCCTCAGTCACCACCTACCCGCCACATGTGAGGAATGAATGGAGCAGATAACGCGTACAGGTGTTTAAATACAACACTGAAGTGGACCAGAGTTCCCGAAGGATGATAACACTCGACCCGGCTTCTACCGAGAGCCCACTGTTACGTTCTAGATCAGTCACCTCACTAGCGGTTCTCAAAGAACAACATATCCCACAATGCAACTGTATGACCTCGCTCGCTGTCTGAGCAGCCCGCCAAGGTCAAACAGTAAAGCATTATAAAGTGGCTCTCTGATATTATACAAACGTTTTACACTGCTTATTTCAACTGGTTCTGCTAAAACAAATGAATAAATCTTGTATGTTAATTTTTCAGCTTCCAAAAAGAAAGTATAAATGCACAACGAGTCATATTTGGTGTGACATTGGTCTGCTAGTCTACGAAAGTGAAGGTCGGCCAGCAGTCACGTGACGTTTTCGAGGGAATCTGAGAAGTATGCCAAGTTGTAAATAAACAGTACCACGTGGGAATATACTATAAATAGCCCAGAATTCTCGAAACGGGACATAACTGCAATGGAAAACATAGTGTTGCTGTCCATTAAGAAGGGCAACAACAAAAAAAAGAAAGCAATGAATTACCGAGTGCACCTGAAAAGTGCTGCAGGCGATAACTATTTACTCTCTTTTTGTGAACACAAAATTATTTTTTGGTACTTCAGCAGACGCTCTTTGCCTCCGTGGCCTGGTATTTTCAAGACCAACTATTCCCTTGACACTTGACTTAGAGTGCGGAAAAATGGTTTAAAGATCACACATCCAATCCGTGCTTAGAAGGTGGTCTGAGAATGGCTAAACATTCGTTATAGCAAATGCCATGGGGATGTGACAAAAAGAATGTTTTCTTATTTTGCTTATGATCAGCTCGTGTTTGTGCGCGTGCGCCTCTGTGAGTGAAAGGAAAAAGAGTGAGAGAAGATTATACAAAGGCACGAAAATTTATGTAATCAGGTTAACATATTTAATAATAATAAATAATATTATTACAACATCATGTACTAAATTAGACGCTTACATTGTTAGTTAGCTTGTTTGTTTGGTTTTGGGGTTTTTTAATTTTTTTAAAAAAGTTCTATTATTTCGTTTGCTCTGATGAGGTCCGCGGGTTGAGCATGATTTTTTGTGTTTTTTGTTTCTTTCTTAATTTGTGTCGAAAATTTTGGCCAGA